ATGTCAAGAACAAACGTGTACCTTTATATATTTTCAATTTTGTATAGATGAAAATCAAAAGTTACTAGTTACTTTCGAACTTCATTTATAAAAAATCATACTTAAAACTCGTGCCGACAGAATTGAATCAAAAAAGTTGGAATTTAAAATTGGAAGAAAATAGTCATAGGTACTTGATTAGAGTTTTTGGCCACACCGTAACAATTCCAACAAGTTTTTAAATGAATTATATTAAATAGGTAGGTATATAGATTATTATACCTTCTCTGTATTTTAATTTTTAGTTCACTGTGGTTTACCAGCAGGGTTACAGTACCTACCTAATATAGACAGTAACTTGTAACGGTTCATGTGTTTGCGTATTTGTCTAGCTAGGGCATTCGATCATAATCAACCCTTAATAATTTTTATTGAATTTCAAATAAATATTCTGGATAATATATTCAGTTTGACAACGTCGCATCGCCTGTTGTGAATCATGTATATTTGTTTTCAGATCATGGTGCTAGGTGGCGTGGATGTCGGGTATATCTGAAGTAATTGCGATAATAATAAAACCCTTATAAAATACTATTGTTATATAGCCTTCAGAAAAATTGCTTAAATAACAATATTATTATAAAGTTTATCTGACTGTATCAGTTTTACGATACTTTTATCGTAGAATACATTTATAAAAAAATTAGAAATTGGACACCTTATTACTATTCTATGATGTTACGTTATTATAAGCTAAACGTCCTTAATACAGATATATGTTGCTTAAATGACACCAAATCAGATCTTTCGAAATTAGCCTGTACCTCTTTCCTGAAATTGCCACTTCTTCTTTCTTAATATTATCTAGCAAGAAATGCTTGACATATTGATAATTAGCAATAGGTACCTATATCAATTATCACTGGAATTAAAACTAGAAATGTCAAGATTTTTCTGCAGCGTAGGTAGATAAACTAAATTTTAGGTTAGTGCTATAACACTTTTATAAGGTTTCCCTAATAATAATTTTGTATTTTGTGAGACACTTCTGTTATTTAACCTTTTTTTAAGTGCTTTATTCAATTTTGTTCCACAACAGTTATTAAATAGTTTTATAAGAGTATTGAACGGAACTAATAAATTATTGCTAAGAATGAACTGTTTGATTCCTCTCTCTCAGCTATTTCTAATGTTTCAATCAAAGTTGCTGGATTTCCTGAGAGTAGGTACTCGCTGTTTAATCGGCATCAATAATTCTAGGGTAAACTGGGTGACTATGTCTCCTAATAATTTGTCTTCCAACAATTTATCGATGGTCGAATTCCCAGTGAATGTAGCAGTTCTATAGCCAATTTTAAGCGAATAACCACAATTTTGTGGTTTTAACCGCGGTTATGGTTTGGTTCAAAATGACAGATCACTTGATGACGTCATTTCGTTGTATTCGCTTAAACGCGTTTGGTATTAACCGCGATTACCCCTGTTGTGAATTGTTATTTTTTTATATTTTGAAGTTTGATTTCATGCTGGCCGGAAAATGGAAAAGAGTAGAAAACTTGCCGTTTTATTTGGAGATGTGTTTTTTTTTGAAGACGGTGCGGAAATAATTGACTTGTTCAGGAAAACTACCAATTTGTGGCATTTTTTTTTTAAGTGAAGACATGAGACCGAAATCAACTGAAACAGATTCCTGGCTAAAGCAGGACGCGCACTGAATCGACTCGGACCGGTCGACTCGGCCTAGAGCATTCGGTAGTTTTTGATACTCATGCAATTAAATGAGACTCGAGTCGACCACGTCGAGTCGACGAGTCCGATGCCGTGCGCGGAGTCTCATTTAATTGCATGAGTATCAAAAACTACCGAATGCTCTTCGCCGAGTCGACCGGTCCGAGTCGATTCAGTGCGCGTCCTGCTTAAGTCTCCAACCTGTATTTGCCCAACAAACACAACTTATCGGCTCTGTAATGTTGCTGTATCACGAACACAGCCCAAATACAGCACATAAATAGTTTTATCGATGCTGCGCAGCACTTGTATTGGGAATACTGTATTTTAGAAGTGCAGTATTTGATATGCAGCGGCTTTGCAGATTTTGTATTGGAAAAGCGATAGATTATTTCGATCTCCCATGCGCATATTGATGCATCAACTGTTGTAAAATGTTAGTGCAGTTACTGTAAAGAAATGTGCCAATTTGCGCGAGCACAGTATTTTTTGCCGTAGAGTTGTGAGCGTAGCCATTTTGTTTTATTTTATTGTATTGTATTGTTTCACTGATGCAGGGCAGCGTTTTTGATTTATAATTTTTGTGGTGTTTTTCACGTGTCTTTTACCTGTGATTTGTATTACTACGTGTACAAGATGCATTATTTTCAACAAGAGGAAACAAGGTAGGTGAAAAATTGATACAAATAAACAAAAAAAAGGCCCCCGTATTATCATAAAATAATAGTAAATAGTCTTGGAATACTAGGGGGCAGAAACACTGAAGAAGTATGTAGGAACATATTAGCCAGATTATTATCTAAAAATTCAACTCCTCAGCTGAACTGGACAGGGCGCCTTCAAAAAGCACAATTTTCAGAATATACCTATAATATCAACATCAATAAAGCAATTTAGGTAAGTTGATGCAAGGTAAAACGGTTTTTAAATTTTAACTCAATTTTGTCCTTATTTAGTCGATGTTAGAAAAAATAGAGCCAGTCAAAATGCGTCTCAATCAGAAGCTGAAAAAGCCACCAAAATATGGTTAACGAATAAGGAATATTATTGTTTAATGTCCCACTCCTCAATATATTCTATATACTTTAATTTGTTTTGTCATTTTTCAAAAATATCCTGTCTATATAAAATAAATTATGTCCATTAAATTTAGAGTGCCACAGGTAAATATACCTAAACGGTATATTGGCTGCACAGTTATTGCGAAACAAATATGTACGACGTCTGCAAGAGCGCTGCGTTATTGCTGTGTAAAAATTGCCTAATGAAGAGGCAGAGCTACTGCACAGTGGCTGTACTCAAATGCAGCATGAACAGTGCAGCGCCAGATGCCGGCCGGTGGGACATATATGGTCCGGGCTGATGCAGCTGCTTCGTCTACATCGCTGTACAACAAGTACAGCACAGTATCACAGTTTTTGCTCAGCGGCTGACTTTCCGTGTTTGCTGGGTGATAATCCACACCTTCATGATTCATGCTTAGAGAAAAAGAATCTGAAGTATCCATAATTTCTGGCCCTTTTTTTACTTCGCAGTACCTAGATAATACCAAACAACACTGCTAAAAACCCGCCAAAATCGTACAATTCAAATAATACCCGCAAAGTAAAAACCACTCCCGAGCTGGGTTAAAACCGGAATTTTGCGGTGATAAGTATGACATTTTACAGCTGATCCATGACGTCACGGAGTCATAACCAAAAGAAAAACCAAAGTCGCATAAATGTTGTGGTTTATTATAAATACCAATCCCAAATGGTAAAAACCGACCTCGTTTGGTTATTCGCTTAAAATTGGCTTGTCCCAACACCTTCAATCTAGTCAGGTACTGTCTACGTGCTTCATATGTTCGTTGCTTTTTATTCATGAACCTAGTCAGATTAATTATTACAAACATTATTTTATTTAAATCCTTACAATAATCCTAAATGATTAAACTTTTAAACAAAATTCAGCAATTGCGACAACCATCTTACTTCAAGTACAAAACATTAGCTACTAGAGCTTAATCTTCAGTAGTCAAATTTAATTCAAAATCTTCAATAATCTCGTTCTACTAATCGCCAATCGTTGAGTGCATTATAATTTCCTATTTAGGGCCGAATTTATAGTTGGTCCTTGAGGTTTGCTCAGACCTTAAGGAAGCCTTGAACGTTTAGAATTGACATGACTAACTTGTCAAATAGTAGCAAGTGTCCAATCTAAACTCGCGACTCCAAGGAAGATTCAAGTAACGACTATAAATTCGGCCCTTAAAATCCTTAGCAAAAATAGTCAAAAGTCATTTCACTCAAAGTCAATTAAATTTTTGCAATAATATTCCATAATCATTTCACATTCATAGTCATTGCAATTAATTTCAAATAAAAGTCATATCTTACTTACTATAATAATTGTCATTAAATTCACTAAACTAGCTCTAACTATCAAAGTATTTTTGTTTTAATTGCTCAGCACGCACAAAATCGAATAAAAGATTTGAATTTACTTCTAACTTCTTAAATTGTCAATATAGTCAATTAAATTGCGAATTTAATTTGGGCCCGAGGCAGAAATAAAGAAAATAACTTTTTGGGGGAAACTCAAATCACTGTCAATTTCTACTGCTCTCTACTATCTTACTATGAATCAACTGCTGATTCTACTTCTTAATGTAATTGCGTCTTCCTCTCATTGTAATCTGTTTAAATAGTATTCAATCCCACCATAAATCTCCGCGTGAGCTTTAAGTTCATCGCCTCTATTTCTAGGAATCATTATCTCCGATTAACCCTGTACCTGCGTATCCTAATTTGACATTTATCGGAGTAATGTCGTAACAATTTCGTTTCCGTTTCCGCTATTGAAAAACGCCGACAGCGCGTGTACACAATTAAACAAGTTAGCCTTATAATTAATTAATGTCGTTGGGTGTTTAGATTTAGGAGTTTATTTGAAAAGTCAGGAATCTCGTGACTTTCCGGTTGCGTAATTATTTCATTCGGACCGCCTTTGGTAAAGATAACTGATGACTCTAGAGGGGGATCCGTATAATAATTGTTAGATTAAATTTTGACCTTTATTGCTGGCTTAAGCAGCGAAACAGATCACTACGTTAATTATTATTTAACACAATAGATTAATTCTCCGTGTAATTTGAAAAGCTTATTGCATGTGTGGTCTCTTCTAAGTAGGACAAATTTGTAGATATTGACTAGAAGAGATCTTTTGTTGCTTTGGATGAACATCAAAAAATGTTTGGCTCAACAGCTCTTCACAATTACTGAGCTATTGACATTTTTAGTCACCTCCTTTCAGAGCCAGGAAAAAAAAACTTACGTTGAAAAATTGAAATATAGTTTCAGTTTCAATTCAACGATCATCTTTATCTTTATAATTAATAAAAATAAAGTCTGTTTACATTTCTTTTGATGCTTTTAGTGTGTATTAATTTCCATGCCTTCATAAATATTAACTTTACTTAAAAACTAAGAAATTAATTATTGTCTAGTCCTACTTAAAAATGTAAATATACGAAACGTTTATTGCACTATTCAAATTGATACTTTTTTCCTTATTTAATTACACATCATAAACACGCATAATATATGTTGCAAGAGAAAAAAAATCTACCATTGTATGGTAATTTTAAATTATTAAGGTCATGTTTATCCAGTAATTATTATCTCCTTCCTACAAAGCTGGTACGATTATAAACTCCAGTTAGGGCTCTTTGAGGCAAAGGTGGAAGTCTATTGGCTCTTTCCAGTGTTAGAGGAAGAACTAGAGGATCTTTGTATTTCGTGTAATATGTTGGGGCTTTGAAATAAGCACTGAAAATAGGAATAATTTAAGAACTAAGTTATTTTATATTTGTTAAGTGAGCCACGGTTTTTAACCAGGAACTTCAGTTATTTCGGTTCCCAAGTTTGTGGCTAACTTTACAAACAATTTTTATCTTACCTAGTAGGATCACCAGGACATTGATACATGTAGTTTTTCTGTTTGAAATAATCAAGCGGGTGCAGAGTACGACTATGATCTTTGTATTGATTCCGATGTAACTGGCAAGCCATATAAAAGTCATCGACGTCTTGCTGCCTGGCGCCGTCCAACATCGTTATTTGCGAATGCGGAAATTTGAGATGCTTACTTCCATTTTTGTAAGCAGAAACGTCTGGATGGGGTGTGTAAATGCTTGTGGATTTACCCCATTCTAGATTTGGCATCTATGTATACGGAACCTCTTTATTGAATTTAATATAATTTAATAGGTAGGTACGTTATTCTTACTTGTAATCTTGATATATTTTCATGTTTGTAGGTTTGAAAATAACTCCTACGTCCTTGGTCGTAAGAATCTGAATTTAGGGGCGGTGGTGCTCCCGTAAATCCCATTTCTACAGTGGGTGGATAGTGCGAAGCACTGATATCAACTGCACGTATTGCCATTGTAAAGAAATCTTTCAGATAGGTACTAGGAATTTTTTTAAATAAATTTGAAAATGAATTTGTAAATACTGAAAATTTCAAATAATTGACAGGGAGTTTGACGGTTTTTTAGATGGTTTTGCTGGTCATTCAAGCAATATCGTTTTAAAGCATAGTTTTAAAGAGAGTGCAAAGCAAAGCCCAACAAATAAGATTACCTATACAAGAATTCTTGCCTTGGTTGAAAAAAATTTAGTAGCTTTTACAAACGTTGTGTAGCTTTAACTTCACTGGTGCATAGGATTGGGTTAGTTGGCGGAAAAGCGCACCCCTATGTCCTTATTCTTGAAACAGGGGAGCAGCGTTCCCGGGAGAACGAGTGCTCCGTCTTTCTCAATGATATGAAAATGATCATATAAGGAACAAAGACGGAACACTCGTTCTCCCGGGAACGCTGCTCCTTTATTTCAAGAATAAGGACACTGATGATCTACCCTGGAAAAGTGAATCCAGGAAAATTTTCCAACATAAAGACAAAATACTTGAAATGATCCATGCCATGCGAATTTAATTGATCAACTAAAATTCAAGTGGAGTTGATTCCACAAAAGTTTGGTCCATTCAAACTCGATCCTTCAGCATCAACATAAAGAATCAACTGGACAATCGGTGCAAATGTGGAAAATAAATTTCCTATATTGGTCAGAGTGCTTGTCGCTCCACCTAGTTTCAGATACGGTAGGTACTGAACTTTAAGCAGGAGTGAGGAGTTCATCAAATTTCTCTCCATTCTCAAAAGAAACCATTTTGCAGTTCCCTTCTCAATAAAATGGTTATTATTTGCTACTGTAATGATCCAGAAATTAGACCCGTTAACCACAATGTCTTTACTGTAAAAAATTAAATAATATCAAATAATCAAAAACTAAATTTTCGGTATTTCCAAATCAGTATCGATAAATTAAAAATGGAACAAATTAATGTGACCCCAAATGCATTCGAAATTATATTATTTCCTTCAGCGGGGTTCATTCATACTTTGCGGGGGGGTCGATTAAATATAAATACCGCGGTTTTAGAAGTGGAAGGCAGTTGTCAGTTGAGTTGCCAGTTGTTAGCAGTCCAGTCCAGTTTGAGTTAAAGTCTACAGTACCTAATGAGTCATAAGGGTTGAAATTCGCGAAAAGTTCTTATTAAGGCCTCGGGGAAAAACGCGTTCGATATAACTTGGAAAAAGTAGGTACGGAAAATTGTGAAAGAAATAACATTTGAAATTCGTTCAACTTATGTGCGGGCTCTAAGTAATCAAAAGAATTAAATTAGATTAGTTTTGTGTTTTATGGACAAAATGTAAGTACTCTATAGTGACAAGATTTATTTTGAATATAAATAATGAACATGACTTAATGTGATTAAACTTTGATTTTTAATGCCTAAAAACTTGAGTGATTTTTTACTAGAAAAACTTTTCGACTTTATAATTAACTTTGGAACTTTATTGCATAAATATTAATTACTCGAGTGTTTTGACTATGGAACATTATTGCATAACTTTAATTGCCTTCAGATATAATGACATTCTAATTTAATTGTGCAAGGAAAATATGAAGGGAATTTATAATGCACTTAACAATATACAATTTTGAGTAGGAATTATGAATTAAACAGTTGGGTTTATTAGTTAAGCTAGAAATCCTAAAATAGAATTTGTTCTGAATAAATAAACTATTAAATGGAATAGGAAATTTCGAAAAGAAACTTGATGTTCAGGAAATAGAATTGTTGTCTTAAAGTATTGGAAAGTTGTTAAAGGAAACTTATTGTTCATGAAATGAATTTTGAATTAGGGTTTTTATTTTTCAAGTAGAAATTATTGTAAGGTTTTATAAGAAAAAGTTAGTAATACTTATATTAATAAACAAATAGGTTTTTATTTTGGGTTTTTCATAAGCAGTCAGTAAAGGACTAAAAATTTTAAAGAATTTATAGAAATAGGTGAAGGGTAGTTTGATAGGAATGAATCGGAAGTGTTGAAATGAATAAACTTATAGGTGATTAGGAATAGTAGGAATAGGGCGTTTCTTTATTAGTAGGGATATTTCAGTGGTCCGTAATAATGACATTTTGAACGGATGTGAAGTAATTGAATTTAGAAAAATAGATGAGGCTGTCAGAATTGGAAGATATTTTGCTGTTTTAAATTTTTGGTTTTATGTATAATAAAATATAATTTTAGTAAACCTCAATAGTTTGTTTCTCTCTCTTGCAAATAGACTCTTCCACAATTTTATAGGTAGCAGCTCCAAGGAAATAAACACCATCAATATACCGCTCGCCATTTACCATCTAACTAATTTTTAGAGTACTTGGGGCGTTTTGCTACACTACACTTTCACCAACACCATAACTATATCCTGTTCACAATCCGATGTCCACAGGTGCAGGTAATTTATCACCTTTCCCTATCAAATAGCATTAAAAGGTGATAAATTTTACCGGTACCAGTGGACATCGGATTGTGAACGGATTATACACCTATACATTCAATGCCATTTCAATACTGGAACTGTTGGTTGATCTTATTTATGTTGAAATTTTGTGAACACTATAAATCATTCAATAAGTGTTATTCAACTTTTATTGATCAACTTCAATTGGACAACCAAAATCGATTTATGAAGAAAGAGCCTTTTAGTGAGAGAGCCTACACTCATTAAAGTTCTGGCAGATCTCCAGACCAAAATATTTCCACAATATTTCCACGGATTATTAAACAGAAGACTATCATCTCTGAGCAAGATGTACTCAACTGATGTCTCATTCTTCTGCATTAAACTAACGCAAACGCGCAGACATCCTAGAGTCGACTAGGTATTGCCGGATCTGTTCTACTCCTCCAGTATTTTCCAGACTCCTTACGTCATATTCCTACTATTTTCTTGTCTAAAGTTTTTAGCTTGAAAAATGATGGGTAGGTAGGTACCTATTTTTTTCTATTTTTCAGGCCTTTAACCGACCCAATGTATTGATGGAATAATAGCACAACTTCACATAACTCAAATTGAATTTCTTTTATTTTATCAAAAATTAAATACATATTTATAAAATGATGTAATAATATGGTATACATAGAGGCGGTTACACACGGACGTGGATGGCTTGATACATATACGTGCATACATCAACGTGCAAACAACAACGTGCAAACAACAACGTGCATGTCACTTTTGTACAGACGCTCGCACAAAACTGTCATTCTTGCTACTCTTGCTACAGTATTCTGAGTGCGCATACAAAATTTCTAGCGATTCCAGAATTCATTTGAGTGTCATTCTACAGTTTGCACATTCAAAAACGCGACGGTATTTTGCATACACATTGATGTTTTTGTTTGCGCGTTCATGTATGTGCGTACATGTTCTCAGACATCCACGTCCGTGTGTAACCGCCTTAGGTACTTATTAAATTCTATAAAATTAACAATACATACTTACATAATACGCAAAAAAACATAAAATCTATTATTAATTTTTTAATTAAACAAAATTGTTTTGTTTGCGAAGGACAATTCGAAAGTTTTATAGGTATATTTTTTTAAATTTAAATTGATTTACCTAAGCAACACTTTCATGTAAATTTTCATTAAACCAACAATCAGCTAAAAATGTCTTTTATCTTCGAAATCGATTAGGTGTATCTGAGATTCATCTTTAGATGCACTTTTTATTGTAGATTTTCTCTTTCATTTCAACCAGCTTGTACAAATAATCTCAATACATAAATCAATAAAAATGTATCACAACTTTAAGAGCGGAAACAAAACGAATGAGGAAATTCTGACATTTTGCCCACAGCATGGATAAATTCTTGCACTGACACTTTTCCTGACGATTCAATGTTCATTTCGTCCATTAACTGCAAAAATTTTAATACTTCATTCATGATCTTCGCAATATGAATTAGATGTGTTATACCGTTTTGATAATGTGTTTTTGCTCTTCCTCTGTAATATAACCAGCTGTTGAAGTGAGTCGCCTGATAATTTCTGCCAAATCTTCCTCTCCAACATACCCATCTCCATCAAAATCTTTTAAAACAATCAATAATTATTTCAAATAAAAAATTAGCCTTTTTAAATATTCACCTAATATTCTAAACGCCCATGCAGCTTTTACATTATCTGGACACCTTTCGGACATTGCTGAGCAAAGATCCAAAATATCTTCAAACGACATCATACCGTCGTCTTGAGAAGAAAACACTTTGAAGATGCGATCTCTGAATGGATTAAACTTGAAACGAAAATGTTAAGGTTTATTTTTTTCATGTATGATTTAAAATGTACCTTCAATTGTGTAAAAATATCTTCGATTCTTTCGCTTGGATATCTGATGTTCACATCTTGTGGGATTCCTTCGCAGTCTAGTTGACCAAAGATTTTAAATATGCTACAGAATAACATAATACATATTAGGGAAATTATTAATTAAACGCTAAACTCAGATTGGTCTATTTTGATTTTATGAGAAATACGCAAGTTTGAAAAAGTTAGTTCTCAGTAATGGGTATACTCTTATAATTCCATAACGGAAACAAAGAGCTATGATAAGTGAAATCATTCTGATGAATAAAAGTTTTTGAAGCAAAAAAATCATACATATTGTAAATTTTGCAGACTTGCCAACCTTTCAGTAGGTAACAATGGTAATGCATTTTGACTTCTTCGGTGTAAAAATGAAATACATTTTCACTAGACTTACTAAAAAGTCTGCTTGCGGGAAATGGGAAATAATATTTTTTCTTTGTGAAAAGTAAATTTAGGTATGGTACATGTATGGTATGTATTTCAGTGATGCGATAAAATATCCATAACTATACATATAACTACATATTTATTGTTACCTATATGGTACTCAGGTAACCTGATAAGAATAATAAAGCAAATTATTAATTTCTCAGGGAATCACCGTTTTGATGAATCGAATTTTTTACTTAAAATACAAAATAACTTACTGCAATATCTCCACTTTGCTCAAATATGTTAGCACAGTATATTCTTCCAAAATATCCTCAGTTAGGGCAGAAAACTTACTCTTAGAGCCCCCCATTTTTTTTTTCTTTTCTTCACAAGACTTACATCAAATCACAATAGCACATTAAACTTTGCACAGACTCCTCAACTACTCAAATACATATAATGTAAAACTGATTTTAGATAAGATAAATAATTATAGTTAACTTTTTTTCACAAGTGCGCTGTTATGGAAATTAAATTTTATTGTTTAAAGAGTGAAAACAAGTTTCAATTGTGTTGCGGACTGTGGTTTTCCCTCGAATGGCGCGGCGAACGATACTTATCAATTGCTCTCAACAGCAAAAAAAAATACCGCTTACTGAAAATTACTATTGCAACAAATGGGTCTACATCTAACGTAATTTGTTTTCAATGATTCACCTTGTTTTCTGTGATTAGATATGGCAAATTAACTTATCCGCTTTATCATTTTATTGTTTGTTTACCTATTATAAGGTAAAATAATACTAAAATAATCTAAATTTCATACAGAGACAATCGATTTAGGTTAAACAAATATAATTTGTTCCTTCATCATGTTGGTTTATTATTCTACCACAAAACAACCTTATGTGTTTATTTGGGTCAAGTGCTTGTTGCATCAAGTATCTACATTTTTACATGCTTAATTAAATGGTTGATTAGGCATGTAAAACAAAAAAAGTATTAATAATTGTATAAAAACTTTAAAAAATGTAGGTACTCTTTTCACACAACCGCCACAAGTCGAGTTACTGTGAAAAGTTATTTCCTATCTTGTTTTACACTATTCTGTTTCTAAAATTATTGCATTATTTATTGGGTTACAATTTAAAATTTAATTCCTCCTTCCTTAGGTGGTTGCAAATTGGGGTTGATGTACCAAATTAGGCAACTCAATTTGAACCTCAGTTTTTCCATTTTTCCTAAATCTATGTTTAAAATATAAAATTGTTATAATATTCATAAAAGTTACAGTTAAAATTATGATTACATATGTGAATATATGGTTAGTTACAAAGGTTAATTCTTTTAAGGGTCGAACTTCAAGTTGTGATGCTTCTGCTTGTAGGGCTTCATATGGTCTACTGTTTTTAATTTAACCGTCGTGACGTTTTCAGGAAAAATAGGAATATCTATTTTGGGTATCTTGAGTTCCAAATTGAAGTTTTCTTTAATGTCTTCGGAAAATGTGTGATTATTGAGAGTCACTGAACATTTTTTCATGGAGATTAAATAGGATTGGCAATTATCTCGATGTACTTCTTTTGATTGCACTCCATAACTGCTGTCAAACTTCTTTTGGGAATTAACAATAATTGATTGTGAGGTAGTTCTTGAACTGTCGGTTCTTCATATTCGATTTTCAAAAAAAGGCATGTTTGTTGGATAGAAATAGGATAGAGTTTATACATCAAAAAAAGGTTTTGGGTTTATTTTTGGTGTATCTATAGATTGTAAATGGGTACATTCAGGCGGTCCCAGCGGCTAAGCTCAGCCACTCAGCAGGACTTTATTCTCGAAGCCAAGAACGTTCTCATAAGAACGATTACTCTGTCATTGTCAGTATTATGCCGGACGACAAAAACAGAAACTTCGTTCCAATGAGAGCGCTGCTCCCCTGTTTCGAGAATAAAGTTGTGCTGAGTGGCTGAACTAAGCCGCTGGCACCGCCTGAATGTACCCAATATAATCAATTCCTTTTGAATGTACACTGTTGTCGACATGGTTTCGTAATACTTTATCACGTTTTCAAATGGGATTTGCTGATTCTTGGGTACCGTAAAATGGTATTCCAAAAATGATTATTGGAATTCAATTAATCGCACACATCAGAGTAGAGCGTTTGCAGCCAAATAAAATTTTTTTTAGATTACTTTGGACCCTTGGCTATCGATTGCGATAAAAATGATCTCTCCATCCCCCACCCCTTTTCGGTAAAAAAAAAATTAAAGGCTGTTTTTCAAGTCGCCCCGCGATGGGGTTACTTGAAAATCTCCATTTTCTAGCGTTAAAAATGCAAATAGGAGCCTAATTGAGGCTTCATGTAAAAGAGAATAAAAAATAGGTATTATGGAAACCAAAAAAAAATTACATTTTTACATCAGGAAGACGATTATTATTCAAAAATACATATAGCTTAATCTACGGAATTTTGTACTAATCACTGTTTTCCTTCAAGCTTGTGCCCCTCCTACACCTTCCAATGCCCTCGCGCCAGTTTTTATCCGAATAATTTCTGTATTTTCTACTCCCAACCATTCGTACATAGTTTTGCACCATTTGTCTAGTAGCCCCAGGAATGACAAAAAAAATAAATGAGACCGCCATTTCTAAACTATGATGATCATCGTTGATCTATTGCCATACCCTTTTAGCCTAATAAGTAGGCATACCAAAATTAATTTGACGCCACCTAGAAATATTCCACTTACCTGCACCAACTGGAAGTATTCAGCCTCAAAAATAACACGATTTTTGTCTTGATATTCTGTCACAGCGACTCGGCAACATGAACAACCGAGGGTGATCTGAATAGCACCACGCGGACTCTCATAACATGGTAGTGCAACCGTTTTGGGATTTACGGGGTTCCATCTTTAACACCAAGGTGGTAGGACCATTAGCGTCATGGCCGGATTAAGCTTTCATGGGGCCCGGGGCTAGTGAAGTTATGGGGCCCTTGATTCTTGATATAACAGAAGACACTGCTATACCTATGTTTTACAAAAATAAGTCAAAATATCTTTTTGCTACGAGCGCACGCATTTTAGGTCATGAAACTACCACTTCTCCGCAGTAGTGCGAAAAAGTAGAATACCTAAAATTTTTAGGTATACAGGTACTTACAGCTATACAGGTATACTACAGGTACAGGTACAGGTACAGAATAGTAAAATAGTTATTTTCCTAACAAGTGCGCAAAGTGATACTTTCCCGCACGAAAAAGCAGTTAGACGAACGACGCGAAGCGGAGTTCGGATAAGCTTTGAGTGCGGGAAAGACACTTTGCGCAAGTGTTAGGAACAATATTTTTTCTAGTAGTATCTTAAAAAAGTAAACTTTGAATTTTTAAAATATTAGAAAAATCAATCAAATCAAAATCTTCAAAAATCGTTTAAAATCTACTGGAATTCCTCAGAATGTCTTTTAAATTAAATCCCCAAATATCTTTTTACATCTTCTGGAATTTCTAGAATCAGCAAGAATATTTTCATGAGAGTCTCTTAAATATCAAAAATTTTACAAATTTCTAGCAGTACAGGGTGGTCCAATTTGGACACCTTTGATAGGAAACATCATGTTAACTAAGCGTTAATTTCAATTGAAACCCTTCATTTTGAATATTAGTTTATTCAGAACCCATCAAAACATTGAAAAATCAAGTATAACTATGGTAATTATGTGTAACAAAAATGAGTGCGCAAAGAGTTTCCGTGCGCAAAGTTCAACTTTGCGCACGCAAGTAGAAAAAAAAAATTCTACTACCGTGCGTAAAGTACTTACTTTACGCACTATTCAGAAGACGTAAAATTAGTCTTCACGCACTAGTGCGTAAAGTAGTTCACTTCACACACTAGTGCGTAAAGTAATGTCAATGACAGATGTCGACCTGTCAAATTACTATTTTTCTGGTAAATTACTTCACGCACTAGTGCGTAAAAAATTTGTCTAAATTAATTTTTTTACCCATATTTGATTGGTAGTAGAACAAATTTTGTATGCAATACGTGCGTAAAGCACCTTTTTTCACTCATGTGATTGTCGCACTCGCCTTCGGCTCGTGCGTCAAAATTCACATTCGTGAAAAAAGGTTCACTTTACACACTTGTTGCATAAATAACGAATCTTAAATTGGTAAATATATAGGAATAAAATAAATATTAACTTCCATCTCGTAGAAAAAATAATATTCCTAACTCGTGCGGAAAGTCTCTTTTCCGTACTTGATTGCTTGCCGAACGACGCGCAGCTAATAATAACTGGAATCGCGTGTAGAAAAGTGGCATTTTCCACACTAGTTAGGAAATATACTATTTTCGTAACTTAAGTTAGGTTAAGTCAAAATCTGTCAACCAATCAATTTGTGGATACTTGCAGTTCAGAGGTGTTTTCTCGCGTCTCAAAGTTTTGGAACATTTTTCAAAACTGGTTTAAATCAGTTTCACAATGACGTCATAACTTCTTGGCGCGAGAAAATGGGTTGAAAACGTGGATTAGGTTGTATTTCGACGCGGTTTGAACCAATTTTGTGTGACGTCATCGGTTCATCGTCAGAATAGGTATACTATTTCAAACCTGTTCTGAACCAGTTCCAAAAAAGTGAACGCGAGAAAATACCTTTGTAGTCGTGAAACTGTCACCAAAAATTCTGAAAAAAAAAGAATGTTCCAGGTGATTTTCCAGGTAGCGGTTCACCTGTAACAATTATCAGATGCATGCTTGCAAAATGAAGTAGGACAACCGCTAGGTATCGCCACAACCGGTCATGCCACTGTGTTTGAAAAGTTTTTTGTTAAAAATAGGTTGAATTGTTCAGCTGAAATTTTGCGAAACGTGACGCGAGAGACTAGTGCATTGATTATTTATTGTTTGCCCATGGGCCCTTGACCAGCATAAGCCTCAACGCCCCAACGTGCGTTGTTCAAAAGTAGGGGCCCCTCTGGAACGCGGGGCCCGGGGCTCCGGCCCCTTTAGCCCCCCCCTTAATCCAGGCATGATTGGCGTATCCAGGATTTTGGTTTGGGGGGGGCTGTGTTAACAAAAAGGGGTTGACCAATAGTCGATTTTCATGTGCCTAAAGTATTCATGTGCCTAAAGTATTCATGCGTTTATTGCCACATTGGAAATGACGAAGCATTTTAGGATCATTTTACTAATTAGCTAGAGTTCACCGATTATACTTATCTTTTTTCATAAAGTAGAAAAGGACGAAAATAGGTCATAGGTTGTGACTAGTTTTTTACAATGAACTAGAAACTACGCGTACCTAGAATGGCACTATGGCACCGACCTCTCTCAGTGCGTCCAAAGATAGCTATATAGTGGGGGATACCTTTCTCTCTCTAGTTCATTGACATTGCTGTTAGGTTTGGTGTATATTCCCAACCTCAAATATAATATTGTTGAGACAAGGAAGGATTTTCATAATTGATGTGTCTCGTAATGCCTCGTGTGCGCGCGCAACTCGTGGGTTGCAGGTGAGCGTCCAATGAAAATCGAGTTTGTTACGGGCTTGCGCCATATTCGTATTCAGAGACGAGTTCAGAATTAATCGTTCCTTCTTTCTTTGTAACGTGTAATTCGACAAAGAGCAAACTAATACTTCACGTATTACTTGAACTTTTCGCAGTGTCGT